ACACACAATGGCGCACCCAGGACTCACACCTACACACACCCACACCAAGATATACGCTAGTTGTTGCCCGGCATTCATTTCATTTTTATTCCGCACTCACTTTTCACTGTTAGTTATGTCTGCTTGTGGTTTCCTTCTTTTTACGTTATTTATGTTTATTTGCATATATTTTATTTCATTTTATTTTTCTGGGGGAAGTGCATAGAGGAACGGAAATGCAACTGAAACACGCTCATTTATCTCCGCATACACCACGCGAAATTTGCGGTTAAGCTAAGCAAAACATAGCATACTTCTGAGCGCCCGGGGTGCATCTGGTGCTGAAAATACATCTGCTGCTCTGTGAGTGGCTGGAAAATTAGTAGACAAATGGTCAGAACGTGTAAATAGTTCCAAATTTAAAGCTGCAGTTCCTTGAACTCTGAAATAAATACATGAAAATCGCCATCAGCAAATACACACAAGCTAAAATGCTACTCAAATGTAAAGTCGCATGTGCACAACTTAGGTATGCCAATATCTCGGTGGCTTTTAAGCAGCTAAACATTTGGTCAGCAAACAAACTTATTTAAAACAAATGACAAGTAATTTATTGAGAATGGAAATTATTAGACAGGTTATTAATGTACATTTACCAGAGGCAATCTAATGTTATTTAACTAAATGAATGTATTTAATCGTATTAAAAGGAATTTTAAAATCCCCCCAGGGATTAAATTCAAATATTTATCTTTAATTAATAATTAATGTACAAAGTTTAACATATTATATAGTATAGTATATAATAACCATATAATAAAACCATAAACCATATAATATATAATAACAACCTAATATTATAATAAATAATACCAATTTCTGATAATCAAGAGTGCAAGGAAATACTTGCCTGCAGTGCTGGCTATCCCAAGCATTTCACTTTATATTTGGAAATTCTGCTAGCAACAGATGTGCAGAGTGGACAACAAGAAGAACACCAGCCGGAAAATGCAACATTCCCATCGTCATCAGTAAAATATTCGAACCATTTTGCTGCCGCTTCTTTGCCATTTGTAAACAGACCGCCCAATTCCTATCTGGAATCGAGTGGGTCCCTTAGTCATGTTTGATTTGCAATTTTGCACAATCAAACTCTTGCCAAGGCTCGAATTGGGTGGAACCGGAGTTTCAGGAGCAGCCAGCAGGCTAAATCCCAAAAATTGCCAATAAATTTGTACTGTTGACTGTGTGTGGCAACAAATTTGCTGCTTGCATATTTTATTTGTGTAGCGTATGTTGTGAAAATTCAAATGCCAATGCAGCCCAGAGACAGTCGTTTAAAAATGTTTAAAAATCGAAGGAAAAGGCGGTAACGGGATTGTGGCACTTGAAAAGATATTGTATATTTATATTCCTATAACAGCTTTATGGAAACAAAATAACGATGGCCATTTGAATGCCACTACTCTTTGCTCAACCCCCAATATAAGAAAAATATGTTGAATAATTCTAAAAAAACATACCGAAACCAATATTTGTTGTTAATTACTTACTGTTTTATATATCAAAGAAGCCTAAAATTTCAAATTTAAGAAACACTAAGCATCAGCTTGAAAGGGGCGAAGCGTAAAATTAATGTTGTGTAAGGTATTTCCAAATCATTGATTAGGCAGCTCGATGGCCGAAAACGCAGCAATGGCCAACACGGCGTATGAGTGTTACGCGAATATTTCAGCAGTCACGCAGCACTTACAACTGGGCATGTTGGAGGTATTTGCGGGTATTTGCGGGTATGTGTGTGCAGTCGTGTGTTATTTGGTGTAAATTGTATGGCCGAAAGATGCAAAATTAGCCAAATAATGGCTGCCTAATGTGCCGGAAAGCTGGCGAGCAAAAGTTAATGGCGAAAATCCTTTAGTCCCCCTCCATAATGAAAACATAAAACGGAGCCACTAAAAGCAAATCGACAGCGGCACATATTTGCTAATCCAATAAGTGTTAGCTGCTTCAGTGCCCGCAAAAGCGGGGGCATTAAAGGGTTAAAGGAACGCATAAAATCTGTATACATCTTCGCCACTCAGAGCGCTTAAACACGTTTCTTTAGCTAACAAAATAAATTCAAATTGGCGTTTTATTTTATTTTTTGTTGTCCTGTCAAACGTGTTTCGCGGTAATTGAACGGACTTTAAATGCCAGCCAAAAATTGCACAAAATGCGGGCTAACACAAACGGCTTTGGTCCAGGTTTTTCTTCTATTTATTTTTTTTTTTATTTATTTGCCTTTGATGTGCCACTAAAACTGAGGTTTGGGTGAGGGGAAAGTAAAGCCAAATGCAGTTGGGACTCTATGGCGACTCCTATGCAAAAGCAGCAAAGCTCGCCAACGCGACGACATCGAAACTTTTCCCATTTTTTGTCCTTTTATTTTTGGTGTCGCGGAATAGTTTGGTTATATAGAAAACAGGGTCAGGAAAAAAATTATGTCAGACTAAAATGTACAGAAACTGTGACTTTAAGCTTTTAAAGACATAAACACCTTAAAAAAATAAACTAATTTAAAATGTATATTATGTTTATCTGATATAAAATAAATAACTTATTTTTGTATTTTAATAAACTTAAAAAATTCACAAGATAAGTGTTTTTTTAACCTATCCAAACTAAGGCTATAACAAGAGGAAATATGAAATGAAAAAATGTATTTTTAGTTTAGTTTTTATAGATCACCCCAGGGCGTTGTGATCTCAAAATATTCAGGGTATTATGACTTTCCATGGAGAGAAAGTCTAGCTGAAAACTGCCCCACATAAAGAACAATTTTCGGGTTGAAAAGGCGCTCCATGGCAGCGAAAATGGCAAGCTGACTTCAAGTGGCATTTTGACATTTTGTTGAATTTCAACTCGGTTTACGTTTTGGGATGCAACTATGGGAGGTTTTGGGGTGGGGTTCGAGGTATGCAAAAAGTGAAAGGGGCGAATTCTGGGGGCCAGAAAACTCGCAGGTGGCTGGGCATGCAAACGAAATGCAAAGAGACGCATATTTTTTTTTTACTTAAATTAGAAAAACAATTGCCAGCGTTGTGGGCAGTAAAAGCTGCAACTTTGGTCAGCAGGTTGACCACACAAAAAGTTCGCAAAGCATTTACTTTTTACATGACGCATTTCAACTTCGCAGGGCTGGTGTTACAACTTTCCCGTTTTGGAGTCCAGCTTTTTACACATAAATTGTTTTTTAAGCCCGAAACCCCACGAAGTATACGTGTTTAATTTCTGCATATTTTTTTAAGGCATTTCGGTTGAGTTACTTCGAAAAATGGACTTGAATTTTATCAATTAACATCATAAATCATAACATAACATCATAACTTTTTCTAAACCTTACCATTTAAAAAAAAAACATATTTTCTCAAAAACACTTTTCTTAATTTTACATACAAAAAGTTTTCGCACCATCTCTAAGTGTGACCATCACCGGGGATCATAACTTAACTATCGATATGGCGCTTTATATACGATTTCAGTCCGGCGAAAAGTTCCGTTAGGAGCAAGAACAAGAGCGAGAGCATTGTAACCAAATAATATTGCTCCAAAAGTTGTTGTCTCTGTCCCAATAAAAATGGAGTTACGCAGCCGAACGAACAGGAGACTAGTGGACTTCCTTAAAAGTAAGATATCCAATATTAGTGGTACTTAATACTACTAACTATTTGCGCAGGCGCCGGCGTTTACGAGGAGGGCATGGACATCGAGGAAATGACCGAGTTGGCCAGTGTCGTGCAGCAATCTGCTAGTATCAGTCCCCAGGACGACGATCTGGAAAGGGCTCTGCAGGTGGGAGGACTATTAAATGATTAATAATGAATAGTAACTAACTTGCGTTGGGTGATCCTCGTTGATTTTGGCAGGAGAGCGAGCTGGAGTTTTTGACCTCGCACCCTAGTGCCTTGCACAATTCCACGATGATCATATCGCCACAAATGGCCAGGAGAAATCCCTCAGACATGGACAGTCCGAGCGAACCGATCCGCATAACTTTTCGGGCTTTGGTGCATCACGCCATGGACTGGGATCCCACCTCTGAGCATCGAATTCCAGATCGGAAACGAAGTGCCGCGGACAACAACCAAATTGCCGAAGTGGGCGGCAAACGTTCCAGGTCATCGGCTATCACCATTGGCCAGACTCCGGAGGAGGAGCACCACCAAGCCGATGTCACACCCGTCATCCCGGGCAACGAGGGCGCGGAAGGCGACTCCGGCGTCAGCTGGGAGGAGGTATCTCTGTCCACCGCCAGCGAGAGCAGCACTCTCCCTTCCATCGGTGAAATGCCCGATCGCCATTTAATTAGCACCAGCAGTGTCGCCGTTTCGGATTTCTCGGATGTCAATGAAATTAGCCGGGAGTAGTCTGTTCTTGCCAATGTTCTGTGTGTATGTTTGCGAATCGAATTCAGCTAAGATTTTACAATGTTTTTGGCCTCACCATGTCTTAAAGAAGAGTACTCGAATATGTTACCTATATGTCTCATTAAAGGATTGAATTATTGCCCTAAAAGTCAAGCAGAACAGCATTTGGTTACTCGAATTTTCTATTTCAAAATACTCGTACATATGCGGTTCCTTAAGACCTATGGATTGTAAAGTTCCCAAAGAAGCAACACCCAATATTTGAGAACATTTCCAAAACATTTAGCCTACATAGCTGTTTTCAAATAGCGTTAATTGGCGTTTGAAAGTAAAAATGCAAATCAAATTAATGGTTTCACCTCACATACATACAAATGTACATATGTATGCACACGGAAGTTAAATTAAGTCTGTTGTCCAACACTGGCACGTCTTTTTCCTATAATAAAAACTTTTTATGTGTTGTAGCAATTTTATGTGGAAATTGATCAGAATCGACAGTTTTGGTTAATTTATAAGATGTCAATAACTATGATTTCAGGTAAATTTTACATATATACAAGTTCCAGAACATTTCATTAATCAACACTAAAGTACGAACTGAACATTTCTGGGAGTGGACACACTGTTCGCACGGCTTTCTAAATTGTCATTGTGCAGGAGCTAGACATTGAGCATTTGTGAAAAATGTAATTAAAATCGAAGCAGTGGATATAGGAAATATATTAATCGGTTCTTCATTGCAGGTCCCTACCAAAGATTCCTCACATTGTGGGCGATGATGATGAATCTCAAGGAGCTTTGTAAGCCTTCGTTGATCTTGATTTAAACGCACTTATATATTTTTTCTTTGTATCCATGTATGTAAATAGGAAAAGTGCTCCAGAAAGTGACGAGAATACCAACGAGTCTTCTATGTAAGTCTCTCGTTATGTAAAGTTTTGATAGTATATTTACAACTTACTCTATAACTAGGGAAAGCGAACAAGATGACGACAACGAAGATGAGTAAGTACCCACAAAGTTATTAGGCAAATTAGTTTTTTGCTCATTTTCGAACTTTTAGAATGGATCTGGATGATGTGGACTGGTCCCCATATGTCACTTATGAGGCGGGCGCACCGTAAGTTAAATACATATGTATATGTACATAATGTCAAACAAAGATTAACACATTTGTGTTTCTCCACAGAAGACGTCCTTACAATACATTGAAGATCACCGAAATTACCGAGGTACCAAGAAATGCAGTGGAAAACTCGCCCTCGCCTAAAATGGATCTTCTGAAGCCGGAGACTTCGGAGTCCCACTGCCTGGGAGTCCGCAAGCGTCTCATCATCTCTCGCGCCAATTATGCCCCATCAGAAACTATTGGAGCTCGCGTTTCCAGACGTAGCAGGGGCAGCTGGGCAGCATACAGCCATAGCATCCTCACTGCGCCCGAAACTTCGGATGATACCACTTCGGTATTACCAGATGAGCTGGCCAAGCCCCGGGATGTCACCGAGTTCTTCCATCGGATTTCTGTTGGTCTCGTCGAGCAACGCGTCTGCTTGAAGCCTTTCTTGGACTTGCGCAAACGGATCGCTCTTATGGTGACCCAGACCTTAAAGGAATCTAAGAGGATGAGCAAGTAATTCATGTGCATCTATGCTTACAACAGCCATGTAAAAGCCACTTTATAAAGTTATAAAATGGAAATGGAAAATGGTTGCTAACGCTTTAGTTGTTCACTTCAAACAGTAAAAATATATAATGTTTTGCATTCACGACCATCTCATGCATAAAGTTACTGAGTAGAAAAACCAGTACATAAATTTAACCGAAATCCGGAAATTTAACTAAATGAATACAAAATATAAAAGCAAAATGAAACACAAAATTAATATCCACACTGATCGTCATTGATCGGGGCAATCGCAATAGTTGATATCGGGCACGTTGTCGGAAACCAGATCATCCTCGGCAATTGTCACACAGCGCACGTTGCAGGGATATTTCTGGGGGATCGACTGATTTAGGTGCTATCGATGGATAGTAAAGATGTGTAACCCACCACCACGACCAAAGGATGTCCATCATCGTCCGTGAGTCCCACATTATCGCAGCCATCTCCCTCATTCTGGCGGTGAACTATGAACTTGGTCATACAACAAAGCATGATCTAAAAGAGGATTGTTGACTTATGCATATGGTAGCAATCTTTGTATGAAGATAACTCCAAAAAGGTTTATATAACTTTTTGGTCGGATTCCCCGTTCCCCATATTCCGCTGTCAATTACAAAGTACTCACCAGGAACTTAAGAGCCAGGACCCATAGGGCCAGCAGGATATAAAAGAAGTTCCACACCGCACTAACGAACACCGGCAAGCAGCCGTTCGCATGGATGGAGTCCACGGTGAGAGCGGGAAAAGGCTGCCGGCTGCCGATGGGTTGCCCCTCACCGGGCAGGAAGTTGTTGAAGCAGCTGTCGCAGGAGCGCTTGCAGCAGGCGAAGGGTGCCAGGACCATCGACGAGCAGTTGTTCTCCCGGCGCGGCATCCACTCCGCGTTCATCCAGTCCTTGTAGCCATGCACACCGCAGCACTCCTTGTGCCACTGCAGTCCGTCCCACAGGAGTTTCCACTCGGGACACGTATAGTACATGTCGATGCCCCGGGTCAGCGAGGTGTCCGCCGCATTCTCGAGGACATCGGCACCCCGGTAAAGGTTCCAAGCGCACCCGAAACCGGAGGCAATGATTACGCAGGAGTAGAAGGCCCACACGGATAGCAAGAGGCGAATGTTGGGCGTGCAACGTCGCCTCCAAATGCGCCTCCACATGGCAATGCTACAGAGGAAGGTCACCACTAGCTGGGCCCCAAACACGTAGATCCCAAACAGATAGCCGTAGATCAGGCGGCACTCGATCTCCGACAAATAGCTGGTGAACACGGCGTGGTAGTAGGCGGTCACCGCCAGGATCAGCAGTCCGATCACGGCCTCGGTTATTAGCAGCAGGTGGAGGTAGACGGAGGCTCGGCGGAAGGGCTGGCGCATTTGGTCATCCTCGTGGGCATCGGTCCAAAGTTTGGCTTGTCGACGAGGCTTCAGCTCTGAACTCGAATTTCATTTGGATTGACGCTGAATGCAAGGACTTACATGTTTGGATTTTAAAATTTAAAACTTGTACTTAAACCATAGTTTTAATTACCAAAGATATTCAAGCTAATAATGCGTACTTTAAGGTAATATGCAAACCGTGTTGGAAATGTATTTACATCTTTTTATTTGGTATGCAATGGATAAATGAACATCTTAATTATATTTCAGTTTAAAACTTTTTAATTTGCAGCTTGATCAGTTGGAGCATATCCCAGACATAGTCTTCCATCTATCATGGGACAGTGGGTCACCGGACAAAGCAAAACTTGAGGACGCCAGACGAGTAGTCCATATTGGGTCCGATCCGTTTTGCATCCACCTTTAACAGCTTTACGTTGTCCAGGCAGCGCGGACTCTGTACTATTTCCGGATTGATATCGCTATGCCGGATCCACAACTCTAGGGGGCGAGTGCGCCACCTTTGCTTGGCCAAAATGGCAATACAGCTCCAGACGAAGGACTCTCCATGGCAACGGGATCGCGTGATGTCGAGCACTCGCAGCTGTCGACAATTGATCGCGAACTCCAGCAGGCCCAAAGGACTCTCCAACTGATAGCCACACAAATGAAGTTCGGTTAGCTCGCGCAGTTGACTTGCGAGTTGCCGCAGCATCTGATCCTCCAGACACTGCAGGCGATCGCCGTCCTCCTCCTCCGGCTGGCCATGCAGCTCCAGACGCGTCAACTGCCTGAGATTACCCAGCTCCCTGAAGAATCTGCCATAATCGTGGAAAACTCCACTGAAACGAAAGCCCTCAATAAGTCTGACTGCTCCGGGAGGACTTGTGGGACGAGCTATCCTCGATAGCACATCGAAGACAAAGTTCTTGGAGTAAATCGACAGCTTACGCAGGTGTGGCAATCTCAGTAGTTGCTGCGTAATATCCGACTCCATGCACAGGTGATAATCCGCAATCTTGATATGCTCCAATGTGGGACAGAGCTGCAGATCCACAAGATCACAGCAGTTCACCTCGTCACAGTCCTCCATTATATCAAATTTGCGCAGTCTCAGCTGGCGGAAAATGTCCCTAAAGTGCTGCGATTCCAGAAACTGGCAATCGTCCAGGCGGAGATCGGTGAGGTGTTCCAGGTCGCATAGGTACTTCCCGGTGATTTGGCAGCCTCTAAGTGTGAGGCTCTTCAGATGGGGAAATACCCGGTGCAGCAGTCGCACATCCTCGTCCACAAAGCGAACGCGTCCCCGTCGATGTCCATTGCCCAACCACTCCAAGGAGTGAATCCTCTCCAGGGTGTGGCTACTAAGCACCCGCAGCCGGCGGACATCCAACTGCTGGCAGCTCAGGCGCTGCATGTGCGGAGCCAGGGCCAAAATGAAAGCCTCAAATTGTCGGGAACTGGCGCCCGAGCGTCCGAACATCTCGTTCTGCAGGACAACGTTGCGAACCCGGGTCCTCCAGAGCATCTGCACTATGCTCTCCAGGCGCCTGTTCAACCTGCCGATCTGGAACTGCTGGTAAACGTTCAGCTGGCGGATGATCAACGCCAGGACATCGTCATTCAGCTGGAGCAGCGAGGCTGCTGCAGTGGGTTCTAAAATGTTGAAGGACGATCATCAAGGTTATAGTTCCTTTTGTTTATGGCCAATTCCTTACCTGTATCGCCTGCGGACGTCATCTGCGGTGTGTTCTCGATCGTGGTGCTTGGAATACTAACGAATTCGTGCCATTGCCGCGGTCAGTCCGGTGCTACCTAGTCCGAAGGTCATTTAGGGGTGGGTTTCCAGGCAAATCGGGCGGAATTCGCGCTACCTAAATGACTTATCCTTTTGGAGATGGGAAAACAAAACGATAGTTTTCGAAGTAGCTCAGCGACATCAAATCCTTAGGACTTCCAAAATAAATCATTATTAAATAAGTTGATCTTCTCAAGGGTTAACACGCAGTTTTAAGCCCAGATACCAGCTGAAAATATATTTAATAGGGTTTAGTTTTTATGCTTATGCTGCGCGTTTTGCTGCTCATTTATTTGTTTTGTTTAGTGCTTACTACTTCATAAATTTTAATTACATTTTACTCGTAACTTGTACAATATATACTATATATATATATATTTCATTTGTTGTCCAATTTCTGTCGTATAGGCATATATATTTTAGGTATATATAGTGTTGTATTGTATCTGATTTATAGTACATTATTGTTTCTATTTAGTATTGTTACTGTTTGTTGCTTTTAATGTTTACGTTAATTGGGGCGTTCCAAGCGTTTTCTTCAGCTTCTGTTAATTTCTCCTAGGAAACATTTTCAGCGCTATCCCAGCGGTTTATCATTAAGGTTAATGGGTGTGTGTCTGTCGATCAGTGAGTGTGGGTTGGAGAAAGTTACCTCTATTCTCACGGCTTGCACTACGCAACTTACAAGTAAAATATTTCGTTTGTTCATTAATATTGCAACACAAGTGTATTTTCTCCTTAAACTTGCCTTTCGCGTACTACACATACATATCCGTTATATATTAGTCAATAATCGTACAATAATATATATCTCTATATGCACTCTATATACTGCGCTCTATACACATCACCAAAAATCCAAAAACACCCAAAACTAACACGGATACTCAACTACATAATTATAGATGTGTGATATTGTGTGTTTGCGACTTCGAAAACAAGAATTTTCAGTGTGAGTGCAAAATACATGCACATCAATATTTTTTTACAATTTTCAATTGTTCCCTGCATTCTAAGTGTATTCAAAATGTGCACTTTGCTGCGATGACCGTGAATAAACTGAAATACGTTAAATAAAACCAAGTTGTGTCTTCGAATGGTTAAACAAACAGTTTTACATTTTCCGTTTATTCGTGTACAGTTACAGTTTGTTAAATTAAATTAAAATTGTATTTTAAGCATTTAATTCTTGGTAATTAAATGTATAAAATGTTGCATTTAAAAGGAAGCATAATGTGTGGGTCGTGTGTCTGTCAGTTTGTCTGTGTATTGTGTGTATTCTTACTAAATTATTAAACTTTGACTCGTGTTTAATATATTTTTTTAGATTTCCATTTTTTGTTGTAAAATTTAAAGCAGATATGTTGTTGCTTGTGGCGCTTGGGGCTTTCTCGTTAATTGTCTCACTTTCTTCTAACTTTTTCTTAATGTTTGTTTGTTGTTTTCAACACAAGCACAGTTAAGGGTTATAATTAATTTTAGAGTTGTGCCTAGTCGTATATATGTATATGTATGGTTGTTGTTGTTGTTGCTTGTTAACTTTAATAGTGGGGTAATAACTTGTTGTTATAGGTTTAGTATTCATATATCATAATCGTAATTGTAATTGTAATCATAATGATTGGGCGACGCGCCCAACTAAAAACTACTCGCTTTCCCCATGCGGGAACTCGCTTCTCCATTCCTCCGATCAGTGTTTTCAATTGTTACTTTTAGTAGTTCAACTAACATTAAATATAATAACTTGTTTGTTTAATCCCTTTTCATTATCTCGTTAGTTGGGTCTGCCGTTATGCTGCTTCCGTTTCCGCTGTCATATAATAATATATATCTCGTATTCATCACAGCCCAACATTCAGGGCTTGATATATTGTAAACTGGGTTAAGGACTACACTTGGCCAATATATGTGAAAGTTTTCGCGCGTTTGCTCGATATCAATGTTCCTCCTTGGAAAATGCAAAAATAATACAATTGTGATAATAATTTTCGATAGATTTCCAAGGGTCTTGTTGCGTGTTATTTACAAACTATAAGTATATATTATAATTGTATGCCTATGCAAATCTGCATATGTTTATGTATGATGAGGATGCTTTCTATGAATGTCGCTCCATATGGGTATAATCATAACTTAGTCAAAACACAATAAAAATACAAGATGGTGCGCTTTCGCTGGTTACGGCAACAAAAACCCCCTTCTTATAGTGTCTAGCGAGAAAATTGTCTGAGTCCGATTGGTTCCTGTATCCGTTGGATTCACTGAGCGCAGCTTAGGAACAACTGGATGTTACAAAAACCCTATCAATTGACCCAAACAAAATCACGCGCCGCCTGGCACACATTTCAAAAATGTAGAAAACACGTGAATAAAATTAGACGCTAAGCGCCTAAGCATTAAAGATACACAAAAAGAGAGATACCAAGAACAAACTATGAGATGATTCGTATTGCACGTTAAAGCTGGCGGCGGCAGACTAGTTGAGAAGTGTTTAGTTCACTTGCGATTGGGCATAGCTTAATGAGTTCCTAGGGTGATTTGATTTTAAATTGTTGTTTAGAAGATTTTACGAATACAAATATAATTAGTTGCCAACAAAATATTAAATTAACATCACTTGGATTTCACGTTTTAGAAGCCAGGACATTTGAACGACAAAACGGAACGATTTCGTCCTAAAAGTAATATTTTACTACCCACGCTTGCTTTAAAAATCGTCACAACCTAGGAACCCAGCATACCGCCACGCTTGGGGCCACAGATCTGCGTAACCAGCGCGCTGCTAAAACTATTGTACATACAACTAGCTGCTTATATGGGGTGCGCTTGTTATGGTGTGTGTCCTATTTAGAGAAGTCGCGTCAGCTCGGCTCACTAGCACTGGCTCACTGGTGGCACGCTTGCCTTCACCACGCCGCTTGCGACGACGCAGTGGCCGCTGTGGCAGCTATTGAGGTGCTGGTCGTGCTGCTGGAGTGGGCTGTGGTGGGAGTGTAGCCGTGCAGGAGGGGCTACTGTTAGTAAACAACCGGGTGCTGTTCCACGTTCGCAGGCAAATGCTGCAGCTGGATGGCGGCGCGTGCTAGAGCACCTGGGTCACTGATCAAGGCGATGGGCGGCGGCTGCTGTTGCTGCTGCGGTGGCGGGGCCTGTGGATGACCCTGCTGCTGCTGCTGGTGATGCTGCTGCTGTTGTTGCTGCTGGTGTTGCTGTTGCTGCTGCTGACGATGCTGCTCCTGCTGATGATGGTGAGCCGCCTGTTGGATGGACAACTGAAGCAGTTGTTGCTGCTGCTGCAATTGCTGTTGCTGCTGCTGATGAGCAGCCACCGCAGCCTGCTGCTGATGCTGGGCGGCCACTTGTTGCTGATGCTGCTGATGTGCAGCAGCCGCCTGTTGCTGAGCTGCTTGCTGTTGGGCAGCAGCGGCGGCTGCAGCCTGTTGCTGCGCAGCTGCTGCAGCGGCTTGCTGCTTCTGCGACTGCTGTTGGGCAGCCGCATTATGTGAGATGAGCGTGGAGGTAACCAGAGGCACCAGACCCGGAGTTAACTGGACCGCACCGGCTCCGCCCGCCGCTCCCGCCGTGATCTGCTGGATGGTGTGCATCGTGGTGGTCGCCGAGTGATGGGGTACTGAAACGGTAGGAGGACCGGTTAAGTTGGGCGACTTGGGCACGGGGAGACTCGCTTGCGCTAGCGCAGTCGTGTTTGCCGACTCACTTATGATCGGTTTCACTTCCTGCTTGACTTGCGTCAGCACACCAGCCGGTATTTGCGGATGCGGATGCACGGGTGGTGGCGGCATCATAGCATCCGGGTGATTCATCTTCATGTGGCGCTTCAAATTGCCGCGCTCGACGAACGCCTTGCTGCACAGTGTGCACGCGTGTGGTTTCTCACCCGAATGGGAGCGCATGTGCGAGACCAAGTGACCTGCGAAACGGACAATGGAAGCGACATGAAGATCTGATCGTCGGGGATCTTGAATTTCGAAAACGGCTCAGGTAAGTTTTGGGTTCTTGCTCTCACAGTCGTTGTCGGCATGCAAATTAGGCATAAGAGGTTAGTCTAGTCATATTTGGTGTTACCAAGGAACTGAAGTCCTACACATTGATGGAAGAAATCTGATAGGTATTTAAAACAACCACTTTAGCCCTGATCTTAAGATGTACTTGTTGTAGTAGTGTTTAATCGGCAACTGTATAGCACAATATGTAAATTTTAAAATGTTATCAAAGACATAAACAAATTCCTTTCAATATGGATATTCTATTTGTATAATTGTTTTTCTTTACTGTTCAATTAAAGAAGGCCCCAATATTATTATAATAAAACATCAACCTAGTGTAAGTATATCAGTCTTTTAACTAATTTTGTTTTGGTTTCTGACTTGACTTGACCCCCAAAAACGACAATTGAAGGCTGTGAAAGCAATTCCCACAACAGCAACTGGAGGGCAGGATTGGGATTAAGGTTTTTGGATTATGACTGTAGCTGGAGCTGGGGCTGGGACACTATGCTGACGCCACGCCACGCGTGCCTCCACTGGATGCATGCAACGCACAGCAACAATCATAGAGCTCACTCACCTTTGCAGATGAAGTTCTTGGGGCACTTCTCGCAGGCGAATGGCCGCTCCATCTCCTGGCCCTTGGTATGGCTGCGTTGATGGAAGAGCAGATTGCCCTTGAGCGGGAACGATTTGCCGCAAGTCTCGCAGGTGAAGGGCCGGTCACCGGTGTGGCAACGCGACATGTGGTTGATCAGGTGCTCCTTGCGCGTAAACGGCTTGTTGCAGACGTTGCAGCAATGCGGATTGTCGCTCGAATGCTGGCGCATGTGATTGTTGAGGTGCTCCTTCCGCGTAAACGTCTTCTGGCAGTACTCGCACTTGTGCGGCGAGTCGCCCGTGTGCAGGCGCACATGGTTCGTCAGGTGCTCCTTCCGCGTGAAGGTCTTCTTGCAGTAGGAGCAGCGGTGCGGGGAGTCGCCCGTGTGCTGGCGCACATGGTTCGTCAGGTGCTCCTTGCGCGTGAACGTCTTGGTGCAGTACGTGCACTTGTGCGGCGACTCGCCTGTATGTTGCCGTACATGATTAACCATGTGATCTTTGCGCGTGAACGCTTTCGTGCAGTACGTGCACTTGAACGGTGTCTCACCCGTGTGCTGGCGTATGTGGTTGACCAGGTGCTCCTTGCGCGTGAACGTCTTCATGCAGTAGGAGCAGCGGTGTGGCGACTCTCCCGTGTGCTGGCGCACGTGGTTAAGCAAGTGCTCCTTGCGCGTAAACGTCTTGGAGCAGAAGTCGCACCGGTGCGGCGTCTCGCCTGCTTGCGTGGCAAATGTGTGTGTGTCGCGCGAATGGGACGAGAAAATGTTTAGAGATTAGTAATCATCGCCTTGGAACAAGGGGGCGGTCATGGTTTGGGCTGGCAAGTTGCGGGTCACTGGACACCTGGCGCGTTTTGGTTTTTTGTGATGTTTCTCCTCTAGGCGACGGGGGAAATCGTGTGTTCACTGTCTCCGCGATCTGTATTTCGGGAACACTAACTTCAAAAACAAACCATGGATCTGAACCTTGAGGCCGATTCAATAACCAATTGAAGGGATTAAAAGCTAAAATCAACTTTTAAATACAAAAATCGGAATAAACAAAAGAATTTAAAAATTTGGTGACTTCTAGATTAAGTCTTATCAAAACATATTTTATACAGTGTACCAACGTTTGCAAGCCTACGCTGTAAATGACTATTAAAACACACAATTGCTGTAAGGAATTCAAAGACTACATTCTAAATGTAACGTAAGCTGCATTTGTATAGATAATCTCTTAAAGAATCGAGAATAGTGCCGACTTAAAGGGATGTTAGGTAAATATGGAAAAGTTATTGATCCACGAATAACAGTGGAGTGCAACTAGCTTTGACCCCAATCCTAGCGAGAGTTCGTTATCGCTGCGCCGCCAAGTGTCTGTGTATACAAGGTTTTCATGTGTCGTGGACTGTAGCTGGAGGCTGGGCGGAGTGGTGGGTAGGATTCGACCGAAATCGAGGAACAGGAAGCGGGCTTACGATTCGTTTTGTCTCTTTACCTGTATGCCAAAGTATGTGATTGGTGAAGTGCTCCTTGCGGCTAAAGCTCTTGCCGCAGATCTCGCAACGGAACGGCGTCTCGTTGGTGTGGGATCGCATATGGTTGGCTAGGTGCTCCTTGCGCGTGTATTTCTTGCCGCAGACATCGCACTGGTGCGGCGTTTGACCTGGATTTGTGGGAGAGGGTAGCAGAACAGAACGGAATTGTTGTATATAGGGAATGGCGTTTGATCTCGTTCGACAAGACAAAATCGCATTCGTTAGCGCAAGCATTTTCTTTTTTCTCGCTCAACTCGAATCAGCGGCCATTTCTCCACGAGGATCTTTGCGGAAGCCCATTGGAGAAATGTTGGCGAATCGGAGAAAAAACAAAATTTCAGATCCCCCGACCCATCCTCGCGCACCGCTCAGACTTTTAATTTTTTATTTTTTTGGTAGTTTAGTGGTTGGGTGGCTGCGTGGGTGGGTGGGTTTTTTCGTTCGTATGAAAAATCTTTTCTTCGTTTTTTTTCTGTTTGGTGTGAAACTGGCCGTGGCTTGCGTTGTTGTGGTTTCGAACGAACGAAGCGAACGGAGGCTGCTGGCTCGGGCATATGGACGTGGGCGTGGTGGTGTCAGATGTGGTGTGGATTGTATGTGGTGTGGATGTTCATTGGATGTGTGTTTTGTTTTGTGTGTGCCTGTCAACTCTGCTTCTACTCAATGCTGGTCCTCAGGATGCTGTTCTTTTTTTGTTTTCGCAATTCATTTTTTTTAGATTTTTGTGCGGAACGTGGGGTTCCAGAAGAAAGTATCGCCAAAGATCTAAAGTTAAGGTAGGTATCTAAGCCTACATAGCAGATATTTATGCAGGTGAGCTGGGATGTGTGTGTTGTGTTTCTTGTGTTGTGTGTGATCCAATTGCTTTCGTGTGATCGAGTGTTAAATGTCGCAGTTACACAGAGACGTTGGCAATCGACAAGCAGCAACAACGAACTTTTCTTAGCTTTTCTTTACTTTCTTGACTTTTCTTTGCTTTGGACACCCTGTTCGACAGCAGAGAGAGCGTAGACAAAGTTGCACAGGCATTAAATATCGAATCGAATCGGGAGTGAAGGATTGGACTTGGACTTGGAGTGATGGAGTGGAGCGAGCACTGGATGAAGTGTTTGGATTGGTGGTGCATGTGAGCATGATTTAGATTGGTGAAGCTGGGGATGTGTGATGCAGAGATCATGGTTGGGGGGAAATGGAGCGGTATGAGCGAGTGAGCGTGTTTTCTTTTAATTTTGTAGCGGGATTAGGCGAGGAGCGTTCTCCAATTCTCTGGAGATTCGCTCGCTTGAAGCGTTAGTTGACACAGAGAAAAAAATCAGAACAATATCTATACCAAAGTTCGTGAGATTCAAAAGCAATAGCTTCAGCGCCATAAGGTATGCAAATACTGACTTTATGAAACCCTAAAATACAAAATTTCTTTGTTTCTGAACTGATGATTTGCAATACTATCCTTAGAATGTTATATCATTTCAAACATGAAGAATTAAAAGGAATTCATGCGGTTCTAGTGTGAGTATACATCAAGGAATTTGGAAAACATATCTAAGATGTTTTAAACGAAATGAAATTTGGATTTTGACACTTTCTGAAAGTGACTTTCTTTTGGCCAGGAAATGACCAAATTAATGACCAATTTGAGTTTATGTTTTTTCTCTCTGTGTGAGTACAGTGGGCGGGGCTGTGGGAGTTGGCGGGTAGAAGAAGCACAAGCGATGAGCGAGATAGAAGTGTATGAGAGAGTGGGTGGAAGAAGACGTAGGACGCACGATGAAGTTTGTATATATTTTTTGCGGTGCTTGTTGTCAATTCTTTTTGATTGGTTTGGTTGGTTGGTTGAATTTTTGATTTGGTTCTTGGTTGGTTTGGTTGGTTGGTGTGATGTGGTGATGGCTGTTGTTGTTCTTGTACTCTATGGATAGAATTTGGTCTGACTGGAGTTGGTCTTGGAGTTGTTTTTTGTTTTTTTTTTTTTTGTTTTGGTATTTAGTTCTGAGAGAATCTGATCTGTCTTTTTGTTTTGGCGCTCGCCGCTCGCATTGTCCGCCCCCACCAATCAATCACACTCACCAGTGTGCCACATGTAGTGGTTAACATAGTGTTCCTTGCGCGTAAAGGACTTCTTACAAATATCGCAACGATGTGGCGTCTCACCCGTGTGTTTGCGCACATGGTTGACCATGTGCTCCTTGCGCGTGAACGTCTTGGCGCAGTACTGGCAACGGAAGGGCGTTTCGCCCGTGTGCGAGCGGAAGTGATTGTCCAGGTGCTCTTTGCGGGCAAAGGTCTTTTGGCAAATGGTGCAGGCGAACGGTTTGTCCGTCGAGTGCCGTTTCATGTGCCGCTCCAGGCTCGTATTGTTCGCGAACACATTGAAGCACACGATGCAGGTGAACATGGGCCCGCCAATGTGGATCTTGCCGTGGCGCGTCAAATCCTGCGACGTGGTGAACCCCTGGCCGCACACCTGGCACATGAACGGCTTCCGTTCGCTGTGGTAGCGCCGGTGCACGATCAGCTGGTACCGGAACTGGAACATCTTGCCGCAGATGTCGCAGACGTGCGTCCCCGTCGCAATGGGCGTACCGTCTGGCGCCAGCGCCACGTTTTGCCCGCCACCATTGCCGCCATTGCCGCTGCCGTCCACGCCATGAATGCCGCCCTCCATTTTAGGCATAAGCAACTCACCCGCCGTGGTCGTGGTGCCCCCACTGGTGGTGCTCCCGCCGCTGCTAGTCGAGCTGCTGGTCGTCGTCACCGTCACCTGCTGGCCCCCATTGCCGCTGGTGGCCGGCGGTAGTCCCCCCGCCGATGCAGCTGCCGCCGCGGCCGCTGCTGCATTCGCTGAGGCCATTACCGCTGCAACGGCAGCATTATTCGTGGACGCCGCTGCTGCGGCTGCCGCTGCACTCGCCGCATGGCTGGTGACCTGCGGCGGAAGCGGAGGAGGTGGTGGCAACTGGCCTCCGTGGGCCGCTGCTAATTGATGATTGACCACATCGCCGTGGATCTTGCCAAAGACTTCGTGGTATGTGAAGAGCTGGGAAATGTCCTCAATGTTCACCTTATACATTTCGATGCCGTGCGGCGGCTTGCCATCCTCTTTGTGCTCGGATTTAGGGAGCGGTGGTGGGCCGCCCAAGGTGATCGTTGTCCCACCAGTGGTCACAACAGGAGTTACTACTGATGGCACCGAGCTGGCAGCGCTCACGTGCTGCATTCTTGTGTCCAGATCCGGGCGATCGTTGTGGCGTTGCTCGTTCCCTGATTTCTATATCCTAATGATGTTCTTGTTGTTGTGTTGTTTATGGGAGTTATTGGTTTGTTCTTGTTGTTGTTGGGAGTAGTTGTTGTTGTTGCTGCTGTTCTTGGTTGTTGTATTTCATGTGTTGAAATGCTGCTGAGGAGCGCCTACATATTGCTGTTGTTGCTGCTGTCGACTGCTTTCGCTGAGCGTGGCTACAACAAACAAAAAATGCAAGTGGAAGGTGGAGGTGGTGTCACTTAATCTCTGGCTGCTCAGGTATTGTTCGAGGTCTTTCTTATCGACGCTGACGGGGGACAATTACCATGAAATTGCTGCTCTCGCTCTGGCTTCTGTGGGGATGATGGTGTGGCTGCTACTGTAACAGTTGATCCATGTGAGTGTGCAATTTGCGCACAACAAATCTGTTTTGTTCACCTGCAAATGGATGAAATTTATTGGAATCAAATCTATTGGCTGAGGAAAAGGAATATTGTTCATAAAGGTTCATCTGCGGGGATAGGATGTTACAAATATGCTGCCTACCCCAAGGCGTGGGCTCCGCAAAGCTCAATTCATCCTGACGAAAGGACTATCCATATGATATTCACCAGAAGAATCAGACAAAGATAAGCACACGGTCGAGGTGAACGTGTTGGTCTTGTGGCATTTTGACAGCATCCGGGGGCCGAAGGACATTACAGATTTGCAGTGTAAAGTGCGACCATTAAACTTGCAACAATGCAAATGTCATTAGCAAGTGCATATGTGTATGTGCACACAAGTACAGTTGAGCCCTAAACCCACACACACTTAAAGTAAACAATCATCAAGCAGGACTAATTTATGTAAAAAGATGTTGGGCAGCTAGCTCATCGTTTTATTGATTTCGCTTCTGGGCATTAAAAGTGATATAAATTGCCCATTAGCGGACCACAGGACTCACACACATACCCACACACCCATATTGCTATGTATGTCTTCATCACCGAAGGAAGAGAAAGAAGAAGAGGCCGCACAATGAAATAACTTTATATAAATTGTAAATGGCAAAAGGCAGCAAAACGAATGACAAGGGACACGAAAATGGGAGTGGAGCTGGAATTTGAGGCTGTTAAGTCGAGGGAGGGGCAGGATCCAGGATTTAGATATCCAATCAGAGAATGCAAGCAGAAGAGAATGAGCGCGCAAGGAGAGAGAGAGAGTGAGGGGGAGAGCCAAACGAGTTAGGGGCCGGGGGAGCTGATGTAAATATCAAGAAGTACAAATCGATTAAAGACAACGCATAAGTGTGTGCGTGTGTAGGAAAAACCGAGCTGCGAATTAAAGATGGATGAGAGAGTGCACGAGGGGAGCGAGCAGGGGGAGCTCCAATACAAGAGAGGAAGAGCGCGCGCATGAGCGGGAGAGGTGGGGAGTGTTTGCATAGGTCCTGGTTTCGCCCCTTTTCGCTAAGCGCTTTACAGTTACAGCTTACAGCTTACATGCTAAGCAAATGGTAGCCAGAGAGAGAAAGACAGGAGAGTGGAGGTGTGGAGCAGAGCTCCCCCGTGATTGCTCTCTCACACTCTCTTGTTTTTCTCGAGCAAATAATTCAGCAAACATCGAGGAGAGCGCAGAACGGGAGAAAGGACACTAAAAAGGGCGCCACTTTTAATGTGGTGAGGTAGGAATGTTTCATTGATGTGTGTGTGCAAATCTCCAAATACATATGTATGTCTTCCGCACGCACATATGAGTGTGTGTGTCTGCAAGTGCCCAGCCCGGGCAGAAACACAAAAAACAAAAAAAAAAGTGGGCGGGTTTCGTTTCGAGCATGTAAAGTGCTGATGAAGCCAAGCACAGAACGCAAGACAAATGGCCCAATCTGCAAAGGGGGTGGACCCCCCGCCCCCTATTAAGTAACTGTAACTCAAGCATCGCCACAAAACGAATTAATCGAGTGCAAACCACAAACGCAGGTCAAAAACCTTAGCACTTCGTCAACGGATCAAAAGTATTTTGAGGCAGCTACCGGCTATTCCCAATTCAATTTATCTAAGCATATCTTTAAAATAGCCTCAATGTTCCGTGCCATTGTACATCACTCTCTTCCAGATTAAAACTTCATAGATTTCTTCATGGAAAGATATTATACTCTTAATTCACTGAATCGCTCGCTCTTCTTTGAAAATAACATTATTTTGGTTCTATGAAGAAGTTTTCAGATTAATTACATAAAGCTAATAGTAGCAATCTGTAAACTTCTGAAAGCCCTTAGGCTTTAAAAGAAATTACAGAATTTATCAGGAATCTTATGATTATACCAGAATCCTTGGGATCGCTACAATAGACCGATGACATTGTTTTAAAAGTCTGAAGGACAAAATAAATTTGGAAGAGCAGAAGCTTGTTTAAATTGTCAGGAAAGCTCATCTGTTGATAAAGTAATATCCAGCTGCATTTATATGCTTCCTTATGGAAGCAAGACGAAATCGACACCATACAAGTTTAATTTGTATCTGTGAGATTGCCGTTCGAGCAGTTGCTATCTAGCGAATTAGGTTACTCGTTACGGAAGGGATTATAAATTTCGAAAACGCTTTTTTATACGAAAACACTGAGCCATATGGTCCAAAAACAAGAATGATCCGTATCAAATGGGGTTGAATAACCCCTTTGGGTGGTGAGCGGTAAAGTCACCCTGTATTTTGATGTGAAAGCAGCGGCAATTGAAATCACTTACCTCATGTGATTCTCTTCTTGGCCCGATTCCGCCGATTTTACTGGGGAGGCTCGCCAGGAGCGGACTTCAAGGTATATTTAGACGGATGCGGAGGTTCCTTTGGGGCGGGCCACCTGCAAGCAGAAACGAGAGGGGAGACATGGCAACAATAATAACCAGTGAGCAACAGTTTGTTTGCGGTGTTTATGTTTACGCGAAATATTCAAACGGCCCGCGGTACAGTCTTCCCCTTTTCCCTTTGCTTCCAGTTTCGGTTTCAGTTTTGGTTCCACTTCCACACACTCATACATTCATACTTGCATACGTGTGTGGGAAAAGCGGACAGGGGGGCGAAAGCAAATCAAGCGAAAATTTATTTGCAGTCAATATATGTATATGTACATACATGTGTATGCAAAAGTCACCAACACATTGAAACTAAGGCTGCGTCTGCGTGGAAAGAAGAGCAAAAATATTCTAACTCTAATTGGAAAGGGAATGGGAATTGGAATTGGTATCGGGGGGGTATTGCAAATTTTACATTTCCAACTATTCCAACTCGAAGCGAGCGGTGCTGTGCGGTTTCGATGCTAACAAATCAAATTAATTGTATCTATATCTAGAAGTGCTGTATGTGCGTGCATCTCCTCGGCCAGTCAGTCTTCTCTGCTTTTCTTCTAGATTCTAGACGGGGGGCCTCTCCTCGTTCTCTTCCTCTCCCCACTCTGCTTTGCTTTTGGCTGCCAGCAGGGAAAAAAGTTGTGTCTTTCTTGCCATGCCGCCTCCTCTTTGTTCCCTTCTTGCCCACTGCTTTTCGTGCACTTTTGTACACGGCTTTGCTTTTTTTTTTTTGTTATTCTCGTCTCGTTTCGTCTCTCTCTCTCTCTCTTGTCTGCATCTCTCCCTCTCTTTGCCTTACATTGTCTCTCATTATTCATTGAACGACAACGGCAACGACACCCCTTACCCCCTGGCCCAACAGCTACAACGTTTTGCACGAACGACGCTACGTACAATTCCCAGCCGCCTAAAGCGGAAAACCAATAAAAACGAATTGAATCGCAAAGCGTAAGTACAAAATAAAGCGAGGAGGCGAGACAGAAAAATGAAAGCTGAGAGAGCTGCTAACGAGCGAGCGAGAGAGCGCGAAACATAGAGGGGGAGAGAGAGAAGCGAGTACAGGCGGCGCGTCGATACAAGTTTTGCCTTTTGGCTCACATTCTATATGCCGAGATCCGAAACTCGAGTTATAGTTATAATTATTGCCGCTGCTGCCGCTTTTTATTTTTAATTTTGTTTGGCTGTCACTCAAATTTCGACCGAGAGAGCGGCGAATCGAATGGGAAAAAGGAAAAAGAGCGAGAGAGAGAGGAGGAGGCGGAGGATCGAGTTGGAGAGTCGTTCATCACATTTTCATTACAGCCAATTAGTGTGCATTTCATAATTGTTAAACAAAACACTCAGGCACACATCTAAGCACAATTGGAAAAGCCAAAGGAATCGGAATTGGGAGCTGCGTTCTAACATATGGCGGCGAAAAAAGTGCCAATTCGGAGAGCGCCACCGATCGCTTGAAGTGCTATAGTTAATAAATTTCAGAAAAATGCAACCCTGCGTTTCCCCTCTCCCTCTCGACAACTTGCAAGAATGACACGATGATGACGTTAATGGGAACTCTGTGGCTGTGGATGTGCGCAGCTCACATACACAAGCACACATAGATACTCTCGCACTCACAAACACCAATACACTGGCAGCAAAGTCGACCGCAAAGTCATTTGATTAAGAATTCTCGCATTCTTTTTGCATGCGAATTTCACAAATAAACACAATTGTTTCCAATCAACCCCGGTACTCTCCCCACTACCCTTCCTGCCCCACCCCCCCTAGCGGCTTTCCCCCCTCGTACAACACTGCAGTTTTTACAAGCTTTAAAAAGGTTGTTCGGTTCGTTCTTATGACGCCAGTATATGAAAATTTACTTGATATTGCAACGGTGGTGGTGGCGGGCACACTCTCCGGCGAATGTGTGTGTGTGTGTGTGCAACAGTAGTGGCAATCAGAATCGAAACGCCGCGCGGGTGAGAGGCGGTGGTGAACGGCGAACAGAGCAAAGCAAACTGAAAACTGAATGAGACGCGGAGGCAGCAGAAGGCGAGCAGGCAAAGGCGACCGATGTAAAAGTTCTTCGTGCGGCGCGTTCGGGCGGCAGCCGAAAGCACAAAAGTCCAGTGGGAGAGCCAGTGCAGCCGGGTTGACTTTGGCGAGGGTATCTATCGGTTCGACTCTAATTTTATAGTTATTTATTGAACATCTTAAATGTGGCAAGATAACTACGTACGTAGGTTGTCTGACTTTTTTTACGGTGTTTAATAATCAGCAATTATCTTCTTAAGTTCTGTTGCCATCCTTTATTTAGCCAAAAGCCTAATGGATTAACGCAGCTCTTACAAGTAATATTAAACGAATTATTAAATGTTCCCTCGGGAAAAAAAATGATTTCCTTATTAGACGAACACAAGTTTAACTACTTTTATTAATCAGAGCAGAAAAAGCCAAGTAACACCTGCACTTACTCCAATTACAAAAAGTGGCTAGAAAGAATCCAAACGGTCGGCACTAGCAAGAGGTGTGGAGGCAGCGAGAGAGCGTGAGCGAGTACGAGAGACACCGCAAGATACAGATACAATGCGTGCTCGAGCCCGCATGTGTGTGTATGTGTGTGTGTGTGCGTGCGATTGCGTTGTTCTTATTAACGATTCGCTGCCGCTGTCTCCGCCTCTCCCTCTCCCACCCGCAACCCCCTCTCGCAGAAGTGCTGCTTTTTCGGGGCTTGGGCACAAAAAGGCGGCAAAATGGTTAAGCACACAAATTCGACCGGGTCCAATTGGCCGATTTGAATATGAATGCGGAATCGCCAATTCGAATTGCACTCACCAGAGATAATGTTAGGTTTTATCCATAGAGCAGCGAGCTACCACTCCTTTTTCTGGTTGCAGCAGCGTCCCTTTTCAACAGACGCCGTTCCCGGATTGCTCAATGGCGATCTTGGTTTCGTGGCCCGATCTCGGATATCACTCTCCACTGATCACTGATCACATTGCGCGCACTGTACACTTGTGGTTGGCCATTTAATTAGAGCGGTGTCTTTATTTTCTTAACATTTATCGCGGATCCAGAGTTTTAGTTGCGGGCGGAAGAGCGAGAGAAGCAGTGTATAGAGCTGGAAGCAGTATCGATATGACATCGAAACATCGGGCCTGTCGGAATCGATAGTTCTTCAGCGCTGCAGTGTGACCGTGCCTTACTGGCATTGCAGCTTGGAAAAATACTAAAGGCACAAAAATACCGCATTAGAGATGGCACTCCGTCGATAGCTTTGCAAATTAAGGTTTTTGTTTTTGGTATTATTAATATAAGTATATAATATTTTATAATAATAATAATTAATATATTATAATATAATATTAAGTAATATTAAATAATACAAATAATTAGCTGCGTAAATATAATAAATCTTGAGGTGTAATTGAAATATAAACCAAGCTGGTTAGATATTATTTAATTAGAAGAGTTTTATTGCATATGCAATTTATAGTAACAAATTAAATATGTAACAAAACTTAAGAAAATCGCATAAAATGGTTTTATAATTTTTAAGTTTTTTCATTGGATTATACGACACATATTATAAGATTTTCAAAATAATTTCTGCAACATTTTTTTTTGGATGTCGTTTGGAAAATGTTTTTTGTCTAGAAAAATTAATTAATTAAATTAAATAATGACAAAACTTCAGAATTATATGATCGTAGTTTTGGCTACCAATGAACCCAACTAGATCTGAACAATACGTATATAAAAAAAGTGAGAGCAAGGAGGACTAGAAAGTCTATTTCTTTGATTTGCTTTTATTTAGCTTTATCGTAAAATAAATTACAAAATAAAATACATTTTGCATATAATTCGTATCCTTATATGTCTAGTACATTAATTTACTCACAAATCTTTTGGGTTAATATTGCGCTGTGCTCCTTCCAACTCTCGCTCGGATTTTGTTTGTTTTCCTAATGCTAAGAACCAAAAAACAAATCAACTTGCCGCAGCTATATATCAACTCCCTATATCCTTTTTGTGCCTGAAGCCAGACGCGGGGAAGCCGAATATCGTTGATCGTATAAAGCTAAATGGAAACTATAAGAATCACTCGAAATCATGTAGAGATATTTGGAAAGGAAAATGGGTGCAAAGTAAACAAATTAAATTCGTAACAAATGTACAGGGAAATGTTTTGGGCGCGGACGCTAAGTAAATGACGATTTCGTGGCCGAGGCCAACCGTTGAGATTAAATTGATTAGATGCCAGCTGGGTGGCCAAGTCGAATACAATAGTTAAGCCTTTTGTACAAACAATTCTCTACTGTTCTGTTTCTGTGATCTTTCGTTTGGCAATTGGTTACGCGTTGCTGTAGTACTTCTGTGTCTCTGTTTAAAATCATCATCCAAATCCTTGGCTGCATCGGTAGTTTCGCTAACATACATCGATCGCATGTATATGTAAAAAGTGGTCCTTAATTCGAGACGTGTGTGTGTGTGTGGTTAAAACGCTTTTCGTGTATATATAAGACTGTGATTCTGCACGTATTTAGGTGTTCCTTTAGAGTGTGCTGGCTAAAAAGCCGCCCGCGAAGTTTATGCAATCGGGTGGCCTACGAAATGAATCTGAATCTGAGTCAGAATCTAAATCTGATTCAGCGGTGAGCTACGGTTCTCAAATAACGTTCGATCGGACTACGGACTACAGAGTACGGATCTCTTGACTCATTGCTCATTGCTTCAGTTGGTTGTTCGGTTTTAGTAAGCTAATATAAATCACGATAGTATGGCCACGCTGCGTCGCGGCCCGCCCTGACTGATGTTGTCCATGGAGGACCACTTCTTGATCCCGTTCTTCAGGGCCTCGGCGGTGACCTTGTCCTGCATCACCCGCGACATGGCCTCCAGCTTCTGGGCCCGCTCCTTGGACAGCGGCTCCGTGGGGAAGTTGAGCTCGTTGGCCTCGGCGAGCGTGCGCAGGTCGAAGTAGTATTTGGCGTACACCGAGGACGGCACATTGATGTTGAACTGCAGCAGCTCGAGGAACTGGCGCTCCAGCTCGTTCATGTCCTCCACGGTGATGTCTTTGAGTATCTGGCAGTAATCCACGTTCCAAACAGCCTGGTCATCCCACACCTTCGAGGCGAGCAGTATGGCACCTGCAGAAGATCGGTTATAGATCAGTAAGCATTACAACATTAAAGATGTTATATATTTTAAGCAGATCTACTGCATGTTCTGAGTAACTGAGGTTCGCAGCACTCCGTTAAAACCGCTCGCAACCTGAACTCACCCAACACCATGCGCTTCCAATTGCAGGGTCCCACATCCAGCTCGGCGTAGGTGAGCAGCCGCTCCAGGTAGACTAGCGTGATGATCGCACACTCGGCCGTCAGCTGGGCGGCGTTGAAGAGCGTGCGCACGAACTTGTAGATCTGCCGGTGCTCCGGATTGTGCGTGTCGTAGTTATCCGGCACCTGGTCGTGGGTCAGCGGGTGCAGCTTCTCGTCGAAGATGTCCAGTCGCCGGTCCGATTGCCGATTCTTGATGTGGTAGTAAATGGCCAGCGAGACGCACTTGACGGTATTCTTAAGATTCGGCTGCGACACAGTGCTGTCGTCCAGATAGATTGTCGAGCAGGAGGAGCTCTTCTTCATCCCACCGCCGCCACCGCCGCAACTATTGCCTCCGGGAGTACTGCCGCCGCCTCCTCCGCCGCTGCCCACCTGCTGGGCAATCTGCTGCTGCGACCGCTTGCGCGTCATGCCGCCGTTCTCCACCTTCGATCGTTCCAGGAACATGGTGGCTGCGGTGGGATCCACCGAGGGATCCTCCTCGCCCTCCAGCGCCTCCCGCTCGGAGATATGCTGCAGATTCTGCTGGTTCTCATAGTTGTCACCGCCGCCGCCCTGCTGGATCTGCTGGATCTGGTACTGATTATGGCCCTGATGGTGCAGGTGCACCGCCGACGCGGATCCGTGGTGGCCGTCCAGCTGGTGCTGCGACGTGTGCGGCGGATGACTCAGCTGGTGGCGCTCCTCGAAGACGGGCGGCATGTCCTTGGACTTGCGGTCCGACTGCGGACTGGAGTACGCGCAGCACGAGTTCTTGTTGCCCATTTCGCCGATTCGGATTGGGTCGGTTGGTCGGGCGCTCAAACTAAATGCAACTTGGCTTGGCACTCACTCGCTCGCTCTCTTGACTAGCGGATGGACCCCGGATACGGATCCTGCTCCTGGCAGTCGCTCACGCTCGGTTCTCGCTTTTGGCACTTGGTCGTCGTGCGTCTATGTCTATGGGCATGGCGCTGGCGTTTCTATCGCTCCACAATCACCGCTGCCCGTCGAGCGTTTGCTGCAAAGAATATACATAGATAACGCTTAGCCTCGGCTTCCATTCGATCTTATCTGCAAATCTGTTCTCATCCCAAAACCCATTACTAATTGCACTGCCCTTTTCGCACGGGTGCCATTCGCTTTCAGAGCAGCTTTGCCCTACATACTCGCATCAAGTTTTGGATGCTATTTGAGCTGGCAATCAAACTATTGTTTATACTACATTATACTAATAAGCATTAAGTGACCAATTTACAGGCACTTCATAGTGAAGTGAGAACTAAATATGAGGTTGATAAGAGGGCAAGCTGGCTATTTGATTGATTTTAAAGTTTGATATACTTGGGCACTGCTGCACATATAGTGTCATATAAAGGCAGCTGTAGATATGATAAAAACTTTGTTGTTTTTGAAGATAGTGGCGTGAAACAAGTCACATGACGGAGCTAAAAGATGGCAATGAAGTTTAGAAAGGCCCTCGGGCAGGGTATTTCATAATTCGACCAGCAAGCTGTGCCATTTTTACTATCTACCGATTATTTGCTCTGTTTACAGGCGAAATCGTTTTGGCTTAAAGGCCGGCCAGATTGTTGTGCGAAATATTAATTAGCCCGCGACACGACACTGGGCGGCAAGTTGCCTAATTTGGCGAGGTCTCTGCTTTATTTTCGCTGTTTTCTAGTTTTCTGCGTGGGGAGCACGGCTCTTTCTTCTTTTTCCTATTTTTGGGAGGGGCGGGGCGGCAGCGAAGCTTGTGACTTTGTTTACGGCGTGGAATACCGCAGTACCGGGCTATTGGACAATTTGTCACCGGGTGCGCAACTGATGGCCCAGTTCCTCGATTGCCGTATCACTACTCAAATCACTTGGAGCGTTTTTCCCCGCACATTAATCATTGGAGTAAATGAATGAATGAACGCTGGCGCCGCTGTCGACGTCGGCGGCGCTGCTCGGCCTCTGCCCGGAGAAACACCCACGAATGGCCACCAAATGGGGATTGTGCCGAGATTGGGCCTGAATGGTGGCTATCACACTGATGGGGCGATGGCCGCCAGTTGGGCGAGCAGTTAAGCCAACACTTTTCACACATCTTTGCTGTTTTCTCGCGTTTTTGGTTTAATTACCTGCTCGAAAATGAAATGTATCGTATTTTATAAATATCGATAGATATAAGTAACAGTGTGGCCGTTGGTGGTTAGCACGGAAATACCATCCGGCTTAGTACCGATTGTAATATTAAAATACCAGACAAATGCCATAATCCCTGGTTTTAAAAACATGGCGGACCACTTAAAAATTGATTAAAAATGTGGTAAATTACACCTTTCAATATATGAACAAATAAGATTTGTAGCACAATAACAAAAGTATAATAACTAAGAAGGCGTTGCAAGCACGCGGTAAGTAATTAAACTGTATTTATCAATATACCAGCTTTGACCAGGTGGCAACATTGAATTCAAATACCAGCGCGGGCTTTTACTTAAAAAATAATTGTTTTATGTCATTGAAAGTATTTCGTATAAAAAAGCCGTCGAGTTAGGTTTAATAAGAATTTTTATTAGTATATTAAAAGTCATATGGTGTTATTATAATTTACTTGAAAGTATTTCGTAATAAGCATACATCTCAGCCATATACCCTTTATCTCAAATATTTGTTTGCAAATTTTAGACCATCGCCGTTAGTTTAGGCATATTAAATGTTGAGTTTAACATAGTAGGAAAATTAAAAACGTTTCATTAGTAGGCTTTTGTTTTGAGAAAACTGTAAAGTACACAATTAGTTTGCTTATACGATATATCAATAACTGGACTAGAAATGAACAGATGAAACAAAGTTATTTACAGATCTCAGTAATATGCGATTTTGGTTTTGTTCGGTGTGGGATGGGATGGCTACTTTATTCCCTTTAGTTAGAGTGCATTCGCTAATATACTACATCTTTTTGCATCCTGTGCAAGTTGTATTTACACAAAATGTACTTTTTATGTTTTTATTGGGGGCTTTATAGTTACGTAGTTTATATTATTTAAATGTAATGATTGCTTTCAACTTATTTGCCGTATGCAAGTGTGTATTTCATATTGTTCCATCAGCTAAGTTTCTCGATAACAAGTTTGCACATCGGCCGGAACTATATAATATGTATTTCTATGTGTGTTAATGATACTACTAGACTACTTTTTGCTATAACATTGAATCGTAAACCTCATATATATCCGTTTGCATACGTTCGATTAGTGTTTCTGTGGTTTCTCATTTTCAACAGAGATAAATAACAACTTTTCACTGTTTTTTGTTTTTTGTTTTCTTTTTTTGTTTGTTTTGAAGGTCTGCAGCCTAACGCTACATTAATCAGGACTTTGTACAGATTTTTGAGAGGTCGCTATACATATACGATATATGCACTATAAATATGCGCATCGCTTTGAGCGTTCAAGTTTGATATACACTAACACACACTGTTTGTTCAATAATATTTACGGTCCGCATATTAGGTATTCAGGCGCTATATTTATCCCATTAATGGTTAGGAGTAGATTAATGTTTGTCTTTAATTTGTGGCTATGGCTACTAGTAGACATCCGCTATACACATCTGCACCACGATTTTCGTACATTTATCGACTACCTTAATAAAGCTATGATCCCAATTTCAGCTGATAATTTGGTACCTTACTGCTAAGCACTTTTACCACTGCCCTTTGACTCTCTGCTGTCCCTCTCGGCTGTTTTCCACTTCAATTTTCACTTTTCACTCATTTCCGCTTGTTTTCGCCCTGCTCAAGTGGTAAAGAGCAGTGGTAAATCTTAAAAGAATGGTCCCGCTATCAGACATTTTGAAAAACGTTTGAAAACATTTCAAGTTGATTAAGGAAAAGAAAAACCGAAACGAAGGGAAATCAAAACCTCCTGCGACTCAAGCCCTCCACTTCCTTCTCTCACTTTTGTCCCGCGCTCACGTATAAAAATAAATATGTTCTGTAGAAACGTGACTATTATTATATACTTAACAATAAATATTTTATATCCCATCGTGTAGGTAGCTATGTGCATTTGTAGAGTGGAAAGTTTTCGAAATCCTTGCTTTCGTTTGGTTTTTGGTTTTTTTTTGTTTGGAAAAAGTCTGTTAGGGGTTGGTGTAGAGTATATACAAGTCGTATAGCTAGTTGTCAGGTATTTTTTGGTTTAGCTTTTAGTTAGGTACTTAATATCTAGACAGATCGACGTGTCTGTCGTCCTTCACGAAAACCACTCGTTAAATTGAGCAATTCGAATGCTTGGTAAATGCAAACACACAAAACTAAGGTCGAAAATAAAAGGTGGACACGGTTACAAAAATATATGCATTTAATTAGAACGAAATTGCGTACATCGAACTTATACAAATCATACGATAAATTCCACATTTGACTAAAACTAACGAAGTACAAGTACAACTGAATTCTAAATATAAATGCTCGCAACGAACCAACAAATACAAATTCACAACAAATTTCAGTTGAACTCCTCGCTATTTATGTATTTATGTACATCTACGCGTTTTTTTTCTCTGTTCGTTTGTATTTGTGCTTGGCCCTAATATTTCCATAAGTTTTCTTCTGCTTTTCCAATTTGCTTTCCCGTTTGCAACAACAAAGTGTACAGATACAGTATTTATACATATATATCGATATTAGTGTACGCAACTAAGCCTATATAGATGATGTACGTTAGTCTAACTCTACCACAATTCACATCGAGAGCGCATTTGAAGCGTTTGTTATCAATATTCTATGCTGATTCTAAGCTTAGTAAACAATATTCCTGCAGCTTCGTTCGTTCCGCAGTTTCTCTCAGTGTAACCATCGAAGTTTCCTCTTCTGCTCTGCATTTTCCGTTTTCGTTTCCGCTTCAGCCTGCCGCCGGCCGACAGGTGGCGCACTGGCCCCTTAGGCGGCAGCGCCATCTGCCGGCTCCGCCGCGGGCTCACTCTGCTCTCCATCGGCCGCTTCCGTTTCCGGCTTGCTTTCCCCCTCTTCCGCCGCCGCTGCAGCTGCGGCTGCAGCTTCCTCCGCTGCGGTGGCCAAAGCGCGAGCCTCGGCATCTGAAAACGGGAGAATTTTTAATTTTCCAATTTATCACTCCATTAATTAATAAACATGAATTGTATTTATTTCTAGAGCACTTACTGTTTTGGACCAGAAATATTATGAAAGATTATGAAAGTTGTTATTTTGTATATTTAAGAACGAAATACAACATATTTTCAGGCATATGAAAGCAACTGATTTTACATAAACTGAGAAATGTTAGTTATCCAATTAAAATTCCAGGGAATTTCAAGGCGCAGCTGTTTAAAGGATCTTTTGATGGCCAAATCCTTACATTTTTCTCTAGATCGTAATAGGATTGGGTTTTCCTTTCGAATGGGAGGGAGGGGCACTTGATTCTTGATTCTGGAAGCCTAATGACCGCTTTTTCGGCGTCGTTCCATCAGCTCTGCGTAAGAAGGTTTATGCATGAATAATAAACGCCATTGGCAGGCGGGAGATCAAAGCGAAGGACAGGTCAAACTCAATTAGCGCCCTTAATGTGAGACTAGAAAAGCGGCCGAGTCGCCGAGGCAATTAATATGATAATGAAAGCGCACTACACTGAGAACTACGCTATGACTTGGCATTACAGACATAATTCCCTACTGCTAAATCCCTTGCCGCAGTGCAACGAACTCACCTTTGACGGCCTGCTCCTTCCATATCCTCTTGTTCTCCACCAGGCAGATGAGCCACGGCTTGGGTATGTTGAACTTGGAGCCGGCGTTGCCGGTGAGACTCTTGCGGGCGAGGCACTCGGCGGCGGTGGTCTTGGCCTCGGTGCGCTCACGTGGCTTTTCCATGCTGGGCGTGATGCCCGAGTTGGGGATCACGATCGCGGAGTTGTTCGTGGAGGTCGCGGTCGCCTCGTGCTCGACCAGAGTGGCCGGCTTGGCCTTGTTCATCGGCGCAATGGGGGCCAGGATGAGCTCGAGCATGTCGGACATGACGCCCATGCTGGGCTCCACGATGAAGTCGATGAAGCAGATCTGCGACTCGGCCACCAGCGTGTTGTTGCGATCGCACAGCGGACTGAAGGGCAGGCCCAGCTCCTTCTCGAGGTCGCCCTGGCGGAAGAACTCCTCCAGCAGGAGCATCGTCCAGCGATGGTGGACGCCCCACTGCTTGGCCGGATGAGAGATGTCGCAGCAGTGGAGCACCAGGGACAGCACCTTCTGCTTGTCGATGGTCGCCTCCTGGAGCGTCAGCAGCTGACGCATGGCCTTCATCTGCTGGAAGTGGTTGGTCATGTCGGTGCCGAGCACCATTTCGATGACCAGGCCGCGCAGCTCGCGGAACTCCTCGCGCGACAAATGCGACAGGATGTTGTACTCATCCTCGCGCAGCAGCCGGAAACTGGCGCTGGCATGGTGGTTCTCCAGCACAGCCCGATCGTTGTACAGCAGGGCCGTCTCCGAACCGGACATCACGTGGAAGTTGTTGGTGGTGCCGGTGTGCTCGTAGTCGTGGAGCAGGGCGGCCAGCAGCGAGGCGAAGATCTCCAGGTCCGTCAGCCAGTTCATCAGCCCCGTGTTGCACAGGCAGTAGTGGATCGTCTGCATCACGTCCACGGCGTGCAGGTTGTTGTGGTACGGATTCCGGTACCGGCAGTAGCCCTCCTCCACGCGGTGCAGGAACGCCTCCAGTATGCCCGGCGCAATCTTGAACTTGTGGATCGAGCCGTAGCGGTTGAACAGCTCGTAGGCCACGTACTTCACCACCTGGCCGCTGGCCGCCTCCGTCAGGGCGAACACGTCGAAGGTCCAGTCGTCCAGGTTCTGTGGCGGATTAGGGATTTTGAGGTGGTAAGAGATCGGTTTTGCAGTTTGTATATGACACCTAGCACCATTTCGCCAATTCTGGAGCAGGAGCACCCACCTTGAGCAGCCGGACCACGTCCGGTGGGAAGGCCGTGAGGGCCGAGCTGGAGACGCGGCGGTACATGCGGTCCACGAAGATGCCGGCCCGGATGGCGTGGGCCACCGAGCGGAACTTGGGCTTCTCGTCGCTCTTGCGCCGGCTGGTGGCCATCTGGCGGGTGAAGGTCGAGGCCAGCCACTCGCGCACCTCCGGCGGCACTGCATCCGGCTGCACCTCCGACAGCTCATCGTCCTCGTCGGCCAGGCGCCTGTTTGGAGGAGATCCGGGTGAGGTGGGTTCGGGTTGGGTTGGGTTGGGTTGGGGTGGAGAAAAGAGTCGTCTGTTAGTTGAATTGCATTTGAGTGGGTTTGCGGGTTAATCGGTTACCAAAACAATACTCAGTAAATGTACAAAAATGAAACCGAATCTTAAGTTATCTGCGTTCGAGTTCGACAAGCTATGGCTAAGTTCAACTTAAAATGGAAGCCAAGTTTGACGTTCGACAGAAGCTAAACAAAACGTAAAAGGAAACCAAGTTTCGGTGTGGATTAAAATTTTGCACGGAAAAAAGGAAAGTTTTCTTGTGTTTTTGGGGTAGAAACAAAGTTTAGTTTTCGCATACAAGTTTAATTAGTGAGCGCAGGAAAATTAGTACTTGCAGTGGTTAGAGCAACAATTACAGATACAGATACAGATATGTAGGTGCATTTACTCGTTATATATTTGCAGTAGCTAGCTAACATCTCAGAGATTTTGGAGGCGTGCTGGGTGCTGGGTGGTGGGTGGTGGTGCGAAAGTTGCTACTATGCAAAAAGCTAACAGGAGCATGCTTCGTGTGGCATGTGTGGCGCTTGTGGGCGGCTGTGCGTGCGTGTGTGTGTGTATTATGGGCGCGGTCGGTGGCGACTCAATGGATTTTCTTAATTGCATGCCAACTATCTGTGCATATTATGTGCAACATCGAACAACGAGAACAGCAACGGCAACGGCAACAGGATTTCGTGCGAGGTACGGCCAGTTTCACTTGCCACAGTCGCCAACTGGCCCACAAAAGCATCCCGGTCTTCCTAATTGGCTCCGGAACTCGCCCTCCCTTGGCCTTGGCCACCCACGCACAGTTGGCGAAATCCGTAATAATTGGCCCTTTCAATGTCCCTCTTTTTACCGGGCACCCAATCAATGCATTTCCTTGACAACAAGGACATCCCGCCTGCATTCGTGTGTTTGGCCCTCACGGAGTTCTTAAAATTACGCAAGTGGATGAAACACAAGCCAGCAAGTGCTCAGGAATGAGAATATGCAAATATTCAATTACTATAGCTAACTATACCCTTAAATACGCCTAAAACTTGTATATTAACGACTAGAATAGGGCAAGTTGGATGTATAAATATTTTTGGTAATTCTTTTAGCCTTCGCCTCTAGCAACATTTACTTATCCACATTGTTGCAATTTGGCTAAGAGCTCAATGTATTGGATGACAGAAATGGTGAGTATTAAATTCCCATTAAAACTTCAAACGAGAACGACAGTTTGCTGGAAAATCATTTTCCTCTCATTACTTGCCATTTTCCTCGTACCCACAATATGAAAGCACTTCGAAATCCCAGCTAAAAAGTGAGGCAGAGATGGGGAAAGTGACTTAAGCAAATTAGCGAATGATTCAATTATGGTTAATTAGACTAACTTCAGAGCTCAGTCAGTGCCCCATCTCCACCTCTTCGCACAAGGAACACAGTCTGTCTGTACGCGATTTCTGGCCAGGATGCTCGAGTATCTCCTGGCTTAGTGGGTTAACTCGAGATGATATGCCCACGCTTGGTTAGGCGAACCACGACATAAATTCCGAGCTGAAGAGCGCGGCTGGCTCAAGTTTTTAATAACGCGCTATTTATTCCATTTAAAGTTCCAATAAGGAGCGGCTTCACAAGTTGGTAAAATACTGCGGTTGGCAAGGCACTAATAAAGTCGGATAGTCACCACAAATAGCAGATACTGATGCCACTTAAGAAGCTGCCCCACTGTGTGCTCCAATGATTCCCCAAAATGGTCCCGAAAATGGGTGTCCCTCACTCCCTACAAAGTGCGGCGCCAGTGGTCAGTGGATTTACTCTCAGTGCACTTCCTACCAATGTTGCGGTTGGGCTACTAATTTGGCAGCAAGTTGGTTCACTGTTCGGACTGTGTTGGTTTTGGATGTTTGCGCTAGAAATGTTCCGATTTTAATACCATTCGCTCAGCATGGCATGCTCCGCCTCGGACACACAGAACATAGTGGCTTTGGTACTTGGATGACGGCTCTAAAGTTTGCAAGGAAGGGGGAAATCCGACTGGCTATGCAAGATCGCACCTTTTCTTCTTCTCCTGCGTCTCCTTGGCGCGATACTGAATGATGAACTGTATCAGCTCGACGGTGATGACGCTTTGTCGGCTGCTTTCACGCCTCAGACGACTCATGGCGCGAACGGCGACGACGACCACGATGGTAATGACGGTCAGCCGGCTGGAGCGGCTCACCGCTGGCTGCTCGGATACAGATACTCCGGTTGGCTCGGGCTCGGGTTCAGGCTCAGATACAACACCCTCCTCGCGGCACGGACCCGGCTCGTACATGGAGTTCAGCTGGAGGTTGACTTTGTGGCAATGTCGTGCTCTCTTGGCACTCGGAAGTTAATACATCACTTTCACTGCGGGGTTGGGGGGTTGGGGGTGCTCTGCTCTATTGGGGCGACAATTACACTGCCACTTCACTTTCGCAATTAGCTGGCAAGGCGAAATGCGCTTTTAATGACGCTGGACTGGCAAATATTTGTGCAGCACTTTTTTCGGCTTTACTTTTCCTTTCCTTTTGTTTTTTTATTTATTTTACTTTTTTTTGGCCGCCCGCTGCCCGACTTTTGCGTACTTGGCCCGTCGCGAGTTCAATTTAAACTGAATTGCGGCGAGCGGGAGCGAGAAAAAAGTACCCGCAAGCGGTTGGCGAAATTTGGCCACCAGGCAGCTCCAGTTGCGTGCTCTTGGGAGTCCGCCGCGTCCTGGCTCCGCAGGATTGCGTGCACACAGGCCGGCACACGCCAGCTGCAGGACGAGGCAAGGTGGATCCGACCTCCAGCTCAAGGCGGGGAAAGTGGAAACTTGGGCACAACTGTGCTAGGTGGCCCATATCAATTATGTCAGCAGTAGGATACCGCCGAGTCATGCCAAGCCCACCACCGAACTATTCTGTGCCAAAAACACCAAAAGTCCAGGCACTGAGCGAATGAACTGCTATGCTGGACAGTTAAATGCTTTCTTGAAGGATAAATCCCGGAATTTCCTAGTACAGTTTTGGTAAACATACACTATTGTTGCCACAAGCTAACCATTTGCTTGCCATTGTTGCAACAGGATAAGCTGAACGCATGGTTTTTACTAGCACTAGTTTGCTTGCCCATTTTGTATCTTTTTCTGGTATTTCATAGAAGCTTGAGATGTTGGCTTAAAGGTTTCAGTACCATTTAATGGTACGCCCTTTTCCTGCCAGCGTACTCCCAGCTGGATCTAGTCCACTCGAGCGCACACGGAAGCGTGTATATTTTACTATTTGCCACAAAACAATTACACAAAATGCTAGGAGGCATCCACGAACAATAGCAACAAAGTATTCTGGGCAAGAACGGCTTGGCTGTAATAACCAGCAGAGGTAGTGGGAATAACCGGAGCCTGATAAACACGACAACGTCACGAATTCATTTAGCCAGCAAAAGTATCTGTAGCTGAAAGTAACTTCTTTTTTTTTTGGGGCCTTGGCGTTTGCCTTTTGCCTAATGACTTTTCACCATTTCCCCCGTTTTCCATGCGATTTTTATGGCTTTGAAGGCACTTTGGGTGGGTGGAGGTCATAAAACGAGTACCAGGAATACCACTTCTTCTGCCAATTGCATTCGCCATTCGTGAGCGAGCACTCGACTCAATTTCCTTTGATTCAATTTTCATTTGTCGAGCGTGCGGCAAATTGCGTGCTGCCGCGTTTGGTGAAATAAATTGCATCGGTTATTGGCACATTTGCATGATTTCTGCATAAGCATTATGCAGTTGGCCAGCACGCGAGCTTTAATGCGGGCAAAACGGCTTAAAGTCCGCAACAGGTTGCAGCTGTAACTCAACAAAGAGCTGCATATCTTGAGATACGTATCTGCAAGTGCACTTTCAAATAGTTCCATAAAAAGGTTCCTATTTTTACTCACACTTTTCTGGCTAATTGTAAACCCATCGCAGCTTTCTGCTTACCTCCACAAAATGTGTGGCCCAAAGCAGCGAGTGAAAACTTTATGGAATGGTTCCTTAACGTTAGTTTGGGTTCAGGGGTCATTTGGTGGAGGGAACACGATGCCACTACTGCCCCATGAAGGGGCAATGATAATGCGTTCGCCCAACCACCCAACCACCCAGTTTGCCCGGGAAACATGCTACTTAATAGTTATGCGTGCAATTTCCTGTACTTGTGCCCCAAGCGCTTCGTCCTTGCTGCCAGGATGTTTTTGTGGGGCATTCCTGGCTGTCATTGCCATCGAGGGCACACGGGAAATTGCTGGCAAATTGACAGCTTTGTTTTGTGCCAATGATTTTGCGTTGACGGCGGCTTTTTGAAAACTCACCCACGAAATCGGCTCACATGTCCCAGAGCCTTCGTCCCCCACCAGAATCTTCTCCCACTCCCCAGTATTTATGGAATGGGCGCAGATTGCGCAAGGACGTACGTGTAACATAATACAAAAGCCGGGGGATAACCTGGAAAAATACGGCGAGGGCTGCTGGAGGAGTTCCCACAGCGATAGCCTAACGTAGAAGTCAAAAAGAACAAGTTTCGCAGGGCAAATCTTCCCAATATAAAATATAAAGCATAAATACGTTTTCGGATCAATGAATAGTGATAGTTAAATTGAAATGAAATAACTTTCTTAAATTTGAAAAAGTTTTTGAAGCCCACAAGATTTAGTGCAAAAGTTCAAGTAGTAGTTGAATATCTAAATATCTTTAGATTAAGATTTAGTGCAAAAGTTCAAGTAGTAGTTGAATATCTAAATATCTTTAGATTTTAGATTTAGTGTAAAAGTTCAAGTAGTTGAATATCTAAAAGTATACAGATGGAATATCCCAACAGCCTGAGCTATTCTAAATTTACTTGCGAAGCACTTCAGTAGCGACCCTCGCAGCTCATTGTACGCCCACGGCTTTGAGCGATTAAAGTGCGTATTCGCTTTGTGTAACCAGAAAGGCGGAAGACA